TTAAGTTGAAATTATTTAAAAAGTTAAACCAATTATAACGAAATTGGCATCAATCGAAATGGGTTTAAAAAGCTTTGTTTCTTAACTGCACCGGGTGCCACCTGTTTAAAAAATTAAATCAAATTTAATTAAGGGAATTAGGTGATGGACATAGCTACATATGTATGTATCACAATGTGGGCGCTAGACGAAAAGTTTGTTTCTTTCAAAAGTCGAATTCAGTTAACCTATACAAAACAAAAAATTGAAATATGACAAACAAAAGAGTTATATTTTTGAGGTGTATAAAGAGGGATGCCACCTGTTTAAAAAGTTAAATTCAAATTATTTCATAAGCTAAATAAATTATTAAATTATTGGCATCAGTAGACAGGAGTTAAACAAGGCTTTTTTCTGAACTATATTTACAGTGTTGCCACATGTTTAAAAGATCAAATTCAATTTAATTAATCAGTTTTGAGTGGAGCAATTGACTGCCCTGCTGTTTTAGATCTCATTAAACACAATACTCCAATGAGAATGCTTCGCCAACATGATTTGTTTGCAATTGTTTTTTTTTGTAAAACCCAATATGCTCTAAATCAACCAGTTATTAGGGTAATGGGTGAGTGAGTTCAATGCTTCATGTAAAGACAATAATGTCAACATATTTGCTAATCGCATAGAATTAAAAAAAAAAACATATTTACTCTTAATTCGTAAATTTTAATTTATTAATCATTAGGCTTGCCAGCTTTTGGAAAAGTCATACTGACCTAACTAAGTATGTATGTATAATATACGAGAGGGAATTTCAAGTATGAGAGATGTAATAAAGTTCGTGGGCTGTATATATGGGTTAAGTTTTTATTTTTGGAAGTTGGAACTTTCTCTTCGGCGTAGAAACGTCTTCACGGCATTGAGATGAAGTATGGCACTCGGATCGCTTATAAGTCTGATTAACATGTGGAATATTTTTTAGATTTTTGATATTCATGCGGGTTCACTAGTTTCTATTAAAAATCTCTTAAATTTGTTTTA